GTCTCCTGAGCCGGGGAGCAAAGCCTCTGAGGACGCCGGCAGCGGGACAGCCGTGGCGTGTCTGGGCTGTCCGCTGCCCGCGTGCTCCCCAGCTTTGCTCCCTGTCTCCCTGGTCTGGAAACCAGCAGACCAGGGAGATGGGGAGCAAAGCCTCTGAGGACGCTGGCAGCGGGACAGCCGCGGCGCGTCTGGGCTGCCCGCGTGCTCCGCGGCTTTGCTGCCCATCTCCCTAGTCTGCTGGAAACCAGCAGACTAGGGAGACGGGCAGCAAACCCCGTTTGTAACTGCAGATCCGACATAAGTCGGATCCGCGTAACTCGGGGACTGCCTGTATGCAAATAACAGGTTATTTTTTCTAAAGCATCAGAAAGTAGAAGTATTAAACTTTTGGTTGTGTCAGTTATTTTATGGTGGAGCTCTCTATTCCTCCAATTTTAAATGGTAGAAAATATTTAAAGAAAAGTAATTCATGTAAAATCATGAGATTTGACAGTAGAGAAATCAATTTTGGTTGTTAAAATAATCTCTGATTTTGCTTTGTTGGTTGGAAATGAGGCTTTGGCTATGTATAAGGGAAAATGGGAAAAGTAGAAAAAGGGAAACAATATTTTCAGTGTTGTAGCTAGTTTGTATGATTACTTTAACAGAAAGAAATTGGATGAGGACTAAGAATGTTAAAATGATTTTATTTAAGTACAGTAAAACTCCATTAGTCCGGCATCCAATGCTCCGGGACTCCTGATGGTCCGGCACTATCAGGAACCCGGAAGTGCTGGGGCAGCCGGACAGGCTTCCCCCATTCAGCTGCTGCTGAAACTGACCAGCAGCTGAATCGGGGAACCGGGAGCAGAGCAGCTGGGGTGCTGCCGGGTTGGTCTCGTAGCGCTGCCCCTCGGGGCTGCGGGACCAACCTGGCAGCACCCCAGCTGCTCTTGGGGACACGTGGGACAGAGCAGCAGGATGCTGCTGGGTTGGTCCCGCAGCACCGAGGGGCGGCGCTACAAGACCAACCCGGCAGCACCCCAGCTGCTTTGCCCCAGGCGTGGGATTCAGCCGCCGCCGGAACCGGCCC